GAAACATAAGTTACGTGTAATCCCTGATTAACAACGTTTACCTCGAGATTTATAACGATTGAATCTGAACTAAACATTTCTGATACTAAAATTAACCAAAAAACCAAAAATATAACCTTTGAAACATTGGCCCTTCCAGGGTGGAGAACATCGATGACCTACATCAATTCGGAAGCACAAGACGTAAGCGAAAACAATAAATTAAGCTTTCTAACAGCGCATGGGAGTGGGGGTTCTTACGAATTGTTTCCTTGAGAGAAGGCGATTCGTCATGAATTTACGTGTCCGGATGGTCACTGCCTTTTCCGCCATTTTTCTGCTCCGAGCTTGGACGCGGTGGCCTTGCGCTGTCTACTCCGGCGGCTTTTCTTCCGGGTACTAAGCACTAGGCCTCCGTCCTGATCTAACTCCGCCGCGAAGACACGATTTCAGTCTCTACTTAAGCAGGGTAGTTTTAAAGCTAGGGTTTACTTTTCAGTATTGGGCCGGGTCCCAATTTAGCAGAATTGGTTTAGCAAAATTCTGTTTTTGATTGGGCCGGATCGCAATTTATATATAGGTGGTGACGATTCAAAATATTTCCGTTACTATTATTCTTTCTGTCTCTCAAAATATAGAAGATTTTGAGAACATTGTATTCTTTGTTGATTTTTTCAAAAATAAATTTTAGATGTAATATATAAGTGTAGAATTTGATAGATAGATTAATAATGAATATATCTGATCTGATAAATAAATAAAAGTGACCTTTTAATATACTTCGTCCCAAGGTGTAAGCAACATCATGCTAAACAAATAGCGTAGTTAAAACTTATATACGCCGTAGTTAATATTTGGATAAAAAATTAACGGTACAAATTACTTAGAAAATGATAACGTTAAACACATCGTGGAGATTGTTTTTTTAAAACGCTAACGCTAATCGTTAAAGCTATTTCTAAACAGAACCCTACAAAACAAATATTAACTACGGAGTATAATATTTTATTTTATCATTGGGCCTTTATATTAGCCAGTTTATTAAATGGGCCGTCACCCCTCAAGTCCACGTTCAATTCCATCGTTTCTGAATGCCATAGCGCTCTAATCCCCTTCATCTTCTCCTTTCACGGTGAATCTCTAGTTATGGGACGACTTACATCTGGGATTGCCGTCCCCGATGACCGGCGGCGTACCGTCAGAGACAGCGACCGACGCCGTTACTCTCCCGAACCGGACGCTCATCGACGGCGCTATCGTAGCCGAAGCAGGACTAGTAGTCTCAGCCGTAGCCGGAGTCGCAGCCGTAGCCGGAGTCGCAGCCGTAGCCCGGATTACTCGAGGTATGAACCTTCGTCATCCCATAATTATCGTCGTGACCGGAGATCATATTCCCCTCACCGTTCGAGCCACCGGCATAGCCCTGTCAACAAACCCTACCAATTCGAACAGCCGCGAGCAGATCGGAGGAAACCGTATTTCAACGGAGATTACAGACACATGCGATCTGCTGGATCGGAATCGGATGAGGATCTGAAAGGATTGCCATTTGAGGAGTACAGGAGGCTGAAGCGTCAGAAGTTGAGGAAAATGCTTAAGAATTGTATTTGGAATTGCACGCCTAGCCCACCTAGAGCTGAGAACGATCCAGAAGAAGACGAAGATCCAGACGAAACTCAGGACAATGATTTGAAGGACAAAGTGAATGAGACTAGGGATTGCTCGAAGATGGATTCCAAGCGCCCCAGTGATGATTCATCCGAGAGCGAATCTGATTCTGATTCTGAATCATCCGATTCTGATTCTGAATCAGACTATTCGCGTTATAGGAAGTCTAAGTATAGGAAGAGGAGGAAATCTAGCTCTATACACAGAAGTAGAGTAAGATTCCCATCTGAAAGTGAGAGTGAATCAGACGATTCAAGTGATGATTCAGAAGTTAAGGCAAAGAGGAGAAGGAGCAAATCAAAGAGAAATCAAAGCAGGCAGCACAAGAAGAGGAGCCAGAAAAAGAAGAGGGATAGAAGTCGGCGCAGTAGGAAGAGCGAAACAGAGTCATCAGAAGCTAGTGACACATCAGAAGATCAGATCAAGTCAAAAAAGGCAGGATCTTCATCTTCAAAGTCTGGGCATGGAAGAAGTAAAAGGAAAAGGTCTGTTCCCTCAAGCCCGAGCTCTGATTCTGCAGCTGATGCAAAAACCAAACACAAAGCTGAAGAAACATTGGGAATCCCCCTAGTCACAGACGAGGTTCTAGAATTAAAAGAACTGATCGAGTCGAGGAAGAAGCCTCCTGTTGATAACCAGCCCATAGTTGGCCCAATGCCTATGCCCAAAACAGATGGACAGCCTGTAAACTACGGAGGGGCACTTCGGCCTGGTGAAGGTGATGCTATAGCCCAATACGTTCAGCAAGGGAAACGTATCCCACGTAGAGGTGAAGTGGGTCTTTCAGCTGATGAGATTTCAAAGTTTGAGTCTTTAGGGTATGTGATGAGCGGTAGTAGGCATCAGAGGATGAATGCTATTCGTATCAGAAAGGAAAACCAAGTTTACAGTGCTGAGGATAAGCGAGCATTGGCTATGTTTAATTACGAGGAAAAGGCGAAGCGTGAAACTAAGGTTATGGCTGATTTAAAGCGCTTGGTGAATCGCCACACGGTGGGCTCTGATATTGTTCCCTCTCATGATCCATTTGCCGGACGATCCTCTGATGTGCCTGATGTTTGAGATCTTATGAATAGAGTTTGAACAGAAAAAAAAAACTTCTCTTGAATGCATCTAGCAAACAGCCTTGTTGCATGTTTAATCTGTTCTGCATCTCAGAACTTTAAATTCTGTTTCTTGGTTAAATTTGTAATCATATTCTCTTTCTATCATCAACTATGGAGTAGTCTGTTTTGTGCAATTCACTTCATTTTCATATGACCAGTTAAACACCCTTGAAGTTTAAGAGAATTTTCCTACAGACAAAGTGCATGAAAAAGTGTAAATGCCCCAACTGATCCCTTTAGATCTGAATCTTGCTCTAACAAAACAGTGATTTGTAGGAGTCCTTGCAAGCATGTTTTCAGGTTGGCTTGATGTTCTGCAGCATTTGAGAAATGCAGTTTGCTTAAGCGAGGTATGATGTCTATGACTTCTTCTCTGGTTTTGATTAATACTTTCATAGATGATAGTAAGTTTGATTTAAGGCCGGGTTATAATATCGGAACTTGTGAGTGTTTGGTGAAGTGTAAATAGGATTCCAATTTGATATCTCCGAATTCAAAAGAGATATCAACCTGAGGTTTGATATCTCCCTCCGCTGGCCACTTCTACTGGCCATCTGCCCTACCACCCCTTGCCTGTTTTGGATATCTCCAAATACTCTCATTTCAAATTTCAAAACTCGTTTCATTTCTTCCGGACTTCATAAATATGAAATCAATCATGCTTCTCTCACCAAACATGCCTTTAATAGATCTTCAGCCTTGCTTCTAAGCTAGTTTTGGATATGCATTTTGCTTCTGGGAAATACTGAAGTGGAACCTTAATAGCAGCATATTAGTGTCAACTGTCAACTATGTTTTTCTCTTCATTTCTTTTCTATGACATCTTATGTTATCTTGATAGCAAGGCTATTACTCAGTTTTCCTCCAATTCTTGAATTTTTCAATGGCTTTTGAGTTTTGACCCTAAATTCAGACTTTTTCTTAGCTCAAACTCTCAAAGCCTCGAACAATAAAGAGTGTACTCTTCCTCCCATCTAAGATGTTTGGCTTTTTACATCTTAAACCCGGCACTACTGAAGGGTACAATGAATTATCACATACTAATTGGTTTGCTTTTGATTGATTTTGCTTATTAATCTAGGATTAGTTAATCCAATATTTTTTTAGGATATTGGATGATACTAATCTAATCTTTCAAAAAGTTAGATTAGTTACCAAATTTGAAATGATATGTCATCCCAAATTCTTGAGATATATGCATGATTTTCTAATTTTTCAGGTCCAAATCATTCTCAATGGAAGTAGACAACTTCCAAATGGTGGGTGCGTGTGTGTGAATTTATTTTCCATATCAAGCATATAAGTTGTGAAAATAATTCTAACTAGGCAAACTCGATTTTGAAATAATTAATCATAAAATCAAACCAATTATTTACTTTTTCGCTTATTTTGTGATTTACAAAAAAGTCAGGAGTTTATTTTGGAGTGAAATGAGTGTTACAAAATACAAATGATGAAGATAACAAGTCTTTTATATACTACGGAGTATCTTTGTTTTAGTGTATTTGTTTCATTTGTTTTTTAAACTAAACTAAAAAAATTAAATTTTGATTACTCTCAATTTGTATTACATTAATATAATAAAATAAAATTTCAAAAGTTCTTAGCTACATAGATTTAATAAAAATATTTTTATATTAATATACATTACGGAGTTCAATTTTTGATTAATTTAAATTTACAGAATAAAATTTATTTGTTTGATTAAAAAAATCAAATTTACAAATACTATATCTTAAAATATGTTAGTCACCCACACATTTTTTATCAAAAAAGTTGTTTTTAGGAAAATAAAAAAGTTTTGAGAATTTTTATTGAGTTACATCACTAATTTCACACAAAATTTACCTCATTCATTTTCCACTATTTTTATTAACGTCAAGACGAATACCACCGTGTTAAACACAAAACTAGGAAAAAATGCACCATAGCCCCCTGTGCTTTCAATAAATAGCTCCTACACCCCATGTCCTCTCAAAAATAACTTGTAATATCTCTTTAGTTTTTAAAGGGTGCACACGCACCCCTAATTTATTTTTTTAAAAATTCACATGGAACTCACTTTTATCAACAATGGCCAAATAGTTTCGGTGCCTCCTGTGGTTTGGAAAATTGGCATCAAAACCTCATGTGTTTTCAAAACTTATTTCTAAAGTCCCCGTGGTTTTAAAACGTTGCACTCACACCCCATCTAATCATTTTTCGGCGAAGAAGGGGCATTGGCGCATAATTTCTAAACTATAGGGGGTATTCGTGCTCATTTCTTATTTTAGTTTATTATTTGTGTTTTCCTTTTTTTTAAATATTTTGTATCTCTTTTTCCTTTTCCTATATTTTTTTTAAAATATATTTTCAATTTTTATAAAGTTTTAAAAATTTTAAAATTCTTTGTGTTTGAAATAAAAATAAAAATAAAAAATTAACATACATTACATCTATCTCAAATTAAAAAATTTCATTTTTTTTAGAATATTTTTTTGGAAAGTTCGAAAAAACCCAGAGTAAAAAAACAAAAATACGGAAAAACGAAATGAAAAAAAATAAAATACGCAAAAAAAGGTCTTATACAAAAAAAATTTGGACACGCCTAAAAAAGTCCTTAGAATTGAGATGTCCAAAAAATATATTCATTTTAATTTTTGTCTTATTTTTTTCTTATTTTATTCCTCATTTTTTCAAAGTTATCAAAAAAATTCTTTTTTCAGAAAAACAAAAATTGTTAATTTCAGACGTACAGTACTTTTCAAACAAAAATAACTTTAAATTTTAAGAATATTATTAAAAAATTTAAAAAACCCTAATTAACGAATGAAACAAAAAAAGGAAAAATGGAAAAAACAAAAAATAAATGAGAAATAAAAATCAGCACTGATACCCCCTATAGTTTAGAAAATATGCACCAATGACCCCCTTCTTTGCCGGAAAAATGGCCGGAAAATGATTAGAAGGGGCACGGATGCAGCATATTGGTGCCTGTTTTGCAAACCACGAGGGGTACCGATGCTATTTGGCCTATCAACAATATACCTCACCCAACTTTCCCAAATTCTCACTACCTCCATCGATCGCTGCAATTTTCATCATCTCCAAGCATTCTTCCAATTTTTTCCCCTGCTATTTGGGATATTTTATTTTTATTTTAATTGCATACTTACCTTGTCACTAGTATTGTTAGTTTATAACCTGTACATCTATGGTGCTTGTTTTGAGATGGGGTTTTATGTTTTTATGGGGTGTGGGATTGCAAGTATCAAGGCCAATCCACTGGAAAGTGGCATTCTTTATAAACTTTCATAAAGAATTAAAAAGATCAAACAAATTAAAAATTTATCTATTTCTGATGCTCACATTGTGAAAGTACTGTTTGAATTATCATATTCTATGAAATGAAATTGTTTTGGTGCATAATTCTTCTGTTGTGATTTTTTTTTTGAATTGATCTGATGTATATTGGCACTTGATGTTGAGTGAATAATGTTCTATGAAATATTTTATAAAATGGATGTATATTGGCATAGATATTGAGTGAATAATATTTCTACCATGATTTTCTTATTTATTTTTGCTTTGAATTTTTCCCCCAAATAATTTCATCTTGCATGATGGGTTGCTTCTGCCATGAGTGTTCTCATGGAGATGGGTCAAGATAAATACTTTTCCCCTATACTCCCTCCCTCCAAAAATAAACTTTACAGGGTCAAACTTTATTCACTTTATTGGCCTATTTTTGTCATCCATTTGATAAAATAATATAGTCATGTCACCTCTAGTTTTGTAGATCTTTTGATATAATTTTTTAATATGTAATTTTTATTTTTCAATTCTACACCATTTTTCATATAAAATGATTTGAAAATAACTTTAGTCAAACATCTTATTCAAAAAAAAAACTTTAGTCAAACATCGTAACGTGTAATGTAAAATTTATTTATGGACGGGGGAGTATCAAAATGAGTGCATGGGCACCTTTTACAAACTATAGGTATATTACCCGAGTATAAATTACTTTTAAAACCACGGGATGTTGAAGTTGAAAGCATAGGGGCTGTGGTGCATTTTTTCCCACAAAACTAAAAGTCCAGCAGATTCCGGCTTCGAAACCACAAAGAAAGACAAATGGCCGCCGTCGGAGTACACACCACCCTCTCCGTCTACTTCTCTCCCCCGCCGCCGCTACACATTTCGCTCAAAGGGCACCGATTCTCCAATGTTCCTATTTCCGGCCCAAGATTTGCGCCGGCGGCGTGCAACAGATCTGGCAGGAAACCATCCGCCGGCAGCAAATTCAGAGCGGTTTTCCGACGAAGCAAGGGAAATGATCTGAGAGAGGAGGCGTTCGTGGACCAAAACGGCGTCGTAGAAGACATGGACGCCTATCTCGACCATCTCTCCCCGGAATACGCCTCCGTTTGGGACACCAAGCCCTCCTGGTAGGTATTTGCTCCTCGGTCCTCACTTTTCTGAGGAATACTTCTCCGACCCAATTCACCCAAAACATTTTCTCTCCTTGGTCCTCGCATTGACATAAATTTCTTCCCGGGAAAACAGAACGGAGAGGAGGGAAACATATTGAGGGTGTTTTGGTGACTGATTTTGAAGTTGTTTTTAATGTAGTAATTTATAAGAGAATTAAAATGAAATTAAAAAAAACATTTTTTCAAATTAAAAAAATTACATCAAAAGCTCTACGAAACAAAATATGATATGATTATATTATTTTATCAAATCAATAAAAAAATAGAAAAAGAAAGTGATAAGTTTATTTTAGAGTCGCAAAACTTGCAAACAAATTGAATATTGTATTAGACTGCATTCTAATCATAATATTCGTCTAGTATGATTTTTTAAAGGCAAACTCGTTAAAATTTTAGGATCAATTAAAAAAAAAACCCAGCATTTGGACAGTTAACTGTGTGGTTAAGTTGTGTGTTATGAATGGGTAGGTGCCAGCCATGGACAATAACAACAACTGGTATAGTGGCAATCACTGGAAGCTGGCTGGTTTTGCACTCTCCCATTGCCACACTTGTGGTTCTGGCTTTGGTCTCCACATGGTGGTATACCTTTCTCTACTCTTATCCCAAAGTAAGTCCTCTCTTCTATCTCTAATCGAGCCTCATTTTGGATTCGTATTTTTTTCTTCTGCGTATCGTGCATTTACCGATTGCAGCTACGAATCACAAAACCGAGTCATTGTCTTGTGTTTATTCTCCAGGCGTACGCGCCGATGGTGGCCAAGAGAAAGGAGAGAGTAACAAATGGACTTGAAGACACATATGGCTCAAAGAAGAGTGGTCTCTAATGATGAAATTTCATGTTCTCAAACATTTGATGTGCATACATGTGTAATAAATGATGAAATTATATTCTCCCTCCATCCCAAAAAGTTTAAGTTGAACAATTTTTCCTTTTCGAACGTCCAAAAAATACGGCTCTCTCTTGTTTGAACAAAGAGTTGTTTTTTCGCAATTTTAAGATCCACACGTGAAATGTGAACCTTCTCATATTTTGGCAAATGATTTTTTTTTTGCAAAAGGACTAATTCTTTTATGATATTAATGCACTAAGATTTTTGAAATGAACAGAAACCATAATATCAAGTAAGAATTTGCCATAAAACCTGACCATTACAAGGAATTTAACTTTTCATTAAACTTCCGTATCACTATAACGAACTAGTCCTTCGTGATTTAGATCAGAAATGCTCGGATCACAAACTGATCACAAATATCACAAATTTACTATTTGTGAATTAAATTTTAAGAATAAAATATTCTAAAATAATTTAAATAGTAAATTTAATACAAAAATAATAAGTTTGTAATGTCTGTGACTCTAACATTTGCTCTGTTTAGATAATATACAAAAGGAAAATAAATAGATTGGAGGGTTTTTGTTGAATAATATATCAACTCCATGGCAGAATCTCAATATTTTCTTTTTGGTTTCAGTACAAGCTTAATCCATGGTGCATTAATAAAGGAAAATAAGTTGCAAACTATTGGTTACCTAATTTCAAACACATGGCACTATGCCTAGAGGCAAACACACAAATTTAAAATAATCTATGGCCAAATATTAAGAAATTTTTATACTCTCCAAGTATAAACCATTACAACTCTAAAAACAAGGTATGACCTCTAAATTATAAGATTGAACAAATACTACACTGATGGGTTTAGAGCTACTAAAAAAAGTACTCCGTATAACCTATGATTTCACATAAAGCAATTCATAACAAAGATATAGTGTCTCAAATTAATTAACATTTTCATAACAATTTCCGATTCGAATGTACATCACTTTCATATGAGTATCATGCTATGCCCTCACCCAAATGTTCCAAGAGGCATAACTGAACACACAGCACATAATCCATCAGTAGTATATAGGTGGAAATCACACACGACTCCTCATGGAACATGCGTCTATACATTTACGACTGGAGTAGAAAACTTACCGGGAAGGAGCTGACGAAGAAGATGAAGAAGAAGATTGTTTGATTAATCTTGAACCCAAACCCTCACGGTTCTATCATTGTCAAGTCCTGCGGACACGATCATGTTCACCAGAGGGTGACAGCTCACACAGATGACCGTATCCGTGTGCCCCTCCAGCTTTTGCAGCAAATTCTTTTCTTTTTGGAGATCCCATATGTACACACAACAATCTTCGGATCCCGAAACGATGTACTTCGCAGACGTAACCGAAAATGTGGGTGTGATGCAATACGTTTTGTTCGCGTGCTTCGTATACGTCTTTATTACCTTCCCAGTCGCGTAATTCCACAGTTTCTTCAAACATCACCAATAACAAAAAATGAGATACAGAAAAGTAAACACAGCAAGAATTCCCTACAATATTTGAAATTATGAAATTTCAAATGAATTCTAGTTCCCAAAAACTACGTCAAACTTTTGATTGAATGCTCAAGAATGTGTTTTATGCTCTCGCAAGAATCAAACAGAAGCCAAATAACAAATACTCCGGTAATAAAGGAAAACAAGATCTTCAAAAATTGAAAATATCAGAAATTTAAGAGATGGGTTGAAAGCTAAACTCACAAGAGTATCATCGCGAGTGGCGACGAGTATGAACTTGCCATTGGGAGAGAATTTGGCAAACGAAACGGGGTGGTCCACATCATTTATGAGGGTCTTCAAGCACGCGCCGGTGGTAGGGTCCCAAGTCTTACAAGAGCCGTCATGGCTGCTGGAAACAAGCATAGTGCCGTCCTTGTTGAAATGCACCGCGGTGACGGGCAGGGAATGGGCCTGGATCACGTGCACAGACTTGCCCGTTTTCACATCCCAGATCCGGATGGTCTCGTCGAATGATCCGGAGGCGATGAGGTTGGATTGGGGGTTAAAATTGACGCAGAAGACGAAATTGGTGTGGCCGCGGAGGGTCTTGCGGCACTCGCCGGAGCTGGCGACCCAGATGCGGATGGTGCAGTCGTCGGAGGCGGAGCAGATGTAGGTGGAGTCGGGAGACCAGGCCAGGTCGGACACGCCGTGGGAGTGGCCCACGAGATGGGAGAGCTTCGTTAGGGTTTCGGATGACCAGACAATTAGGGTTGTGTCCAAAGAGGCGGAGGCAAAGAGCTGGCCGTCGTTCGAGAACTTCACGCAGGAGAGGGCCCGTGAATGAGCCGCCAGGACTTTCTTCTGTCGATACGGCCGGTAAGGTGCTGTGCCGTTATTGTTTGTCGCCGGCGCCGCCATCAGATTGACAATCAGCGGTGGCAGGGCCGGTCCTTAAACCCTGAGCAATAAAAATGGCACTATATCATGATACCCATTTGCTAAGAACGATTCTATGAGTATCAAAACAGAATTGATTTTTTTTATATTATCAAAGTGCAATTCATTCGTCATTCTGAATAAAAATTGAAAATTGAAATTCAAAGAAGAAGAACTCGAGGAAACCGGACCATTAAAATTTTAAAACTACTCCGAACCGATTATCTATAGGATGAAAAGAGAAATAGAATTATGGATTTCATAGATGATAATTGGTAGATCATACCAGGAGGGTGGAGCACCGTAGCCGTAGAGGCCGAAGGCGGCGCAGTGCGTCTTCGGCTTCGCTCTTCAGAATACAGAGATCGGAAAAATCGGAAGGCGCGACTTCGTCGGCCGCCGATTCACTGCCCGGTAGTGCGCTGAGCCGCGGATGCCTTCAGACCGATTTTCAGAGACGGCAGTTTGCAAAAGCTATAAGTTTGCAGGCCTCTCTCTTTCCTACGGAATCAGAACAGGATCTGGCGGTTCTACCCGTAGAACCCCGACCGGACACACAACCGGTCCAGTACAACCCCCATAAACCCCATAAAACTCCGAAAAACCGAGTCGACTCGGAAAAATCTTATTAACTTGGGATCCGTCATCTCTACCGGGTCGACCTCCGATCCAAATTTAAAATCATTGATATTTAAAATCATCTTTCTATTTTGCTCATCCCTTTCTCACATCTTTATTCTTTACTACTCGTAATATTTTTACGGATGCATGGCACGGGTTAAATACAATTATTTTATGTTCAATGAAAAATATTATTTTTCTTTAGAGAAAAGTACCCCGTTAATCATAGAATTCCTTAGAAATTGAATGGTTTATTTCTAAACATTAAAAATTACACCAAATACTCTTGAATTCTCTAGAAATTGTTTGATTTATACCTAAACATTAGAAAGTGAATCAAATACCCTTGAACTTCTTGGAAATTGTATGGTTTACCATGAATGTTCGAATAAAGGCAATAATTATCGGGAAGTGTATTTTGAAGATTTCACAAGGGCTAGATGAATTATACTCGCAATTCCCGTGTATGGGAACAATGTGCACCCTATATAACATCTTAGGACCAACCCAACGGTGCAATATTTTAAATTGTTCAGAGGTATTACATCAAAAGTTCTAAAACCAACTTCAAAGAACAAAATAGTACTCAGGGTAGAAAAAATAAGAATCATAAGGCTGGCTAATAAGTTTTGGGCTTAAATTCTTAGTCAGCAAGTCATAATATTAAAATATTAAAATCTTCCGGTCTGGACGAGTTAATTCTGATTTTAGACCGGATCAGACTGAAAACCAAAATTGTTAATTTATGAAGACCGGAGATCGTACCTGAATTCTTCATACAATCTAAACCCTTCTTTTGTTTTAGGTATGCCTAGAAATATTCAATTGGTATTAGGCATCGTTTGCAAGGTTAGATAAGGGGTCTTAATGACATAATGATTTTGCTATGTAAAAACTTGGGACAACATATACGATAAGTGAGGAGAAGGACTTGATTGCACAAAGTAAAATACTCCGTAATACAGGTACTAAGTTGATTCAATTTTAAGTTAGAGATTAATTTGAATATTTCTAGACAGTACATGTGAGTATTTTGTCCATAATTTTTGTGAGTAAATTCCATAATTGGTATTTTACTCCTTTATAATAATAGAATTTTCTTATTTAGTCCTTTATTATCAAATATTACCATGATGATCCTTCTTTTATGGGTGTCATTACACAAATGATTATTTTTTCATCTTCTGACATATTGGTGTAAATTTGAAGGATAAAATGTAATTGGACAATGATAATATATATTTTTCTTATCATACACAATTCTATAGGCCACTACTGATTCGTTGTTTGTCCGAATTCTAGAATATAATTATAGTCATTATTTTTGTATCATTCGTCTAACTATTATAAGTATGGACCATGCTAGGGTGCCACCACATGGGTGCTACCATAGGTGCATCAATGCTTCGCACAGACAAACACAGACGATAACTGTCTGTGTCGCACAGACAATTATCGTCTGTGTTTGTCTGTGCGAAGCATGGGTGCACCATGGTAGCACCCATTTGGTGGCACCATAGCATTTTCCTATAAGTATACGTCACCGAATATAAAATTGACGTCAAATTATATTTTTAGTTTTTAAATTAATACCAACATAACAAAAGATAACAAAAAAAACATTTATGGAATAAAACCCATAAAAAAAACTACAAAAGTAATATTTAAGGCTAAATATGAAAACCACTTGTTCTAAAAACCAATCATCATGGAAACAAAATAATCAAGGGCTAAATATTCTTATACGGTACATTAGGGAGTACGGTATAAGAATAAGAGTCGCACCCTAGCTGTCCTTTAAGAAAACTTAGAAAAGGATGCATTCACTACCCGCCCAGTTGAACCCGAGGGCTGTTTCGATGAGAATGGAGGTGAAGAGGGGGCGGAATGATGAAGAAGATCTGTTGGGTATGAATGGTGAATCACAGTCACGTTTGAAGCTTCTCCGCCGATCATCGACGTCCAAGATACGTCTATCAGGTTATCAATTTGAACACAATAAATTTTGGAGTACTTACCAATCTATGATGAGTTCAATCTCACAAGATTTGACTTGATTCTGTTTTGTCTGTTGTGTAGATCGGACTGTAAAGCTGTTAGAAGAGAAGGTATCCTTTCCAAATGTATCCAAGTGTCGACTCAAACACATCAAAGCCTCAATCTTCACACCCGGCTTCTGCTTCAGAGATGCTTACGAATGCCCCGACCCACGTGCTGTAAGTAAGGAATATAGGATCGGATCATATTTTGACACCCAATGCCAGGTTTATTCCGAAACCTTCGTTGATATGCCCAAAGCCGAGGTAGGCAAACAACTGGATGTTTTAGAATTGCTAGGGGATGGTGACCTCTTGAGGTTCAGCACTAGTAGCCAAAACGTTCCTAGCATTCGGCCCACAAAAAGTTCCGAGGGTTTGTGTAAAGGTTTTAAAAAAACAAACACGGGTGGATCGGGTGATGGTAGATGTGATGTTGAAAGGATTCAACGCCCCGTGCTCAGGCGTTGTGCTAATGTTGTTGGGGGTGGTGGTGCCATGGCCTGTACCACAAGCACAACAACAACAGGCAAAACAGAGTTTGTTAGCATGGAAAGAACCCTGAACCTAAAGGGTAAACACGTTATGATTTGTTGTGTGTTTGTGCCATCAATATGGTGTTCAGAAGACGGGCTCCTGGTTTACCACACAGCCTTAGCTTCTCATGAGCTGGCTAGAAGAGATGACTTTGAGCTGGTGGTTGTGCCAATGATGAGGGAGGGTTTCACTCACTCTCTCTCTGCCTATCAACACTTTTTGTCGGGATTTTCCTGCCTTGCTGTCCCTTTCCAGGACTCTCATCGGCGTGAGTTCATTTGCTCATCACTCGGGTTTGACGGTAAGCTTGACTGTTTGGTTCTAGATCCATCCCAGGAGGTGCTTTACCATGGTCCGCCCCTCTCTTTTCCATTTGTTGGAGCTGCGCATGAATGCTTTCCCTTTACTCCAGATAGAGAATGGCTTTTCCTAAGCAGTAAGTATAATCGGGAGAATCGCTCCCTTGGTGAGCTATTAGGCCTCAGCGACACTGATGTTCTGTACAATATTGAGTATCTTGCTGGCGGCAGGTTGAAGGAGGAGGATGGTCATAGCATTACTATTTCTGAGCTTAAACAGAAGGTTGTGGGGGTTTACATTCACTGGGATGGTACAAGTTTAAAGAGGCTTAAGGAGGTTCACGAGGAATGTAGATGGCAAAACCACGAGCTTGAGATTGTGGTGGTGTGCAACCCCTTCCGGGATCGAGTGCCCCCAACGCTGTATGAGAAGCTAAGGCTTGGGACTGAGATTGGACTCACTACTTACTTGGGAAGCTGTTCATGCCGCGCTTGATCCCGAGTGCAAGATGGATATTCCTGTGGAAAAGCTTAAGGGCAAGATTGTTGTTCTTTATCTATACCAAGACTCGCAGAAATGTCTGGCTGATAAACTGGCTGCGTGGTATAAAAGATATATTAAGGGATGGCATTCAAATGTTGAGGTGGTTGCTGTATGCATAGATGTGGACATGAGATTCGGCGCCATGGATGAGGAATTCATGGATATGGGTTGGTTGGTATGCTGTGCAGACCCAACCAAGGCAGCCAGGCTCTGTAAAGAATACTTTCATCCTCGCTTGAAGCCACGCGAGGCTCTCGTTGCCTTTGACGAAGATGGCCGGATTGCATCTTTGGATCCTAACCACATTTTCCAATGTAAAGATCCTCCCTTCCACGGCGATCTACGTGAAGAGATTTGTCTGAAGGATTTTGAAGATGCTGGGTATGATTACATGCCGCATTGATTATCAAAGGGGTTTACCGTTTACGTATGGGATATATTTGATTTTGGAGTTGATGACCATGGATAATTATATAGCAGTAGTAGTTCAATTAGATGATCCTATTTAGTTATTTTGATGGTTTAAGTTTAATTATTGTGGTTTCATTTTAGTTTGGTGAGGGTACATCTCTGTAATCACCTCAGAAGTTCCATGCATTTTACTCTTTACATGGACTAGGTCCTTATACTATCTAAAAATATTTATGATGTGTTTGGTGAGCAATTTAGATAAGAGTCTTCATCATCTAAAATATAGAACGGGGCACAGGAGCGTCCCCAGGTCATCCATGACATTACCGGGAAATGTCTTGAGAACCACACCGGTTTTCCATATAGCATTATGTAATTTTATTTATGAATATTTAATTATATATTTTTTCCAAACACAATTTAAATTACACTAAGGTTCTCATGACATTGGAATCCAATGTCAACTATTTGATTTTCAGTTAAGGAACAATTTTCACTTTAAATAATAATGCATGGAGTACTCTTAAAGTTTAAAAATCATTGATTTTAAGTTATATCCTGAATAATGGAGGAATTGCATTCTCTTACATTGCATTAAGTAACTAAGATTCTATGATTAAAATGAAGAAACAAAAATGAAGGTCAAATAAACACAGAGCACTACATAGTAGCCAATAAAAGGTTAACTTTTAATAGAAATTGTGATGGATTTCGTTTATATAGGATGTAGAGTGTAATGAATCACAAAATCAATACAGATCCATTTTTATCGTGAATTTTATGGATCAAAAATGGAAAATTGTTTTATTATCACACAAGGAATCAACAAAATTAGCGGAATTGACCAAAACTGGCCGTCAATTGTAGAGCTGGCAAATCGGTCAGTCAAGTCGGGTTCGGATTCGGTCACTTCGAGTTTGGGTTATTTCGGGTTTGGGTTGAGAGTTGTATGTTCATGACCCAGTGCATTCGGGTTTGGATCAACCCAACGGGTTATGACTTTGGTTTTAAAAAATTTTAAATGCACATTAACATTTACATTTTCTATTAAATATATTTACAATATCAAAAAAAAAGTATTAAATTTTTAAATGTTAGAAAAAGTAAGATAATTATGCAATATCATTAAAATTTTGTCTGAAAATATAAATTTTACATTAAAAACGAGTAGTAAAGTGTATGATTTTGAAAAATACTCACTTTAGCGGGTCGGTCAGGTCGGGTTTGACCCATTTTTAGCGGGTCATTTTGGGTTCGGTTATCAAAATATTTGTTCAAAACCCAGTGTTTTCAGGTCGGATTTTGGGTCAAAACAGGTCGGGTCATTGTTTGCCAGGTCTAGTCAATGGCGAAGCCACATTTTGCATATTACAAACAAAGTTGTTGTGTTGATAACTTCTTTCTCTGTAAGCAACCGCGAATCTACCTAGATCTGGTTCAAGAGATACCAAGGTCCTGATCTGATCAACTCAAAAAATGAAACGGAGAAGAAGAAACAAAAGGCTACGATTAGGAAGAGCAGAAGAGGTAACTTAATTCTTGATTTGTAGTTTATGGTGTGGGGATGAATTCCTCGAAAATCTCTTGATCTCATCCTTATAATAAAATTGGTCAATGGGGGTGAAACTAACTTTTGTGTGATCTTTGTGTAGAGCACATCATATATTACATTTTTTATGTGAACATAAAACGGTTTCCGACTTGGCCACGCCACACATCGCAGCAGTGGCTGCATGCAAATTGTTTTTCATCCGCCATGGATGAAAAACAATTTGCCTGCCCATGATTCACCTTCGGTTAACTATCTTCTCACAAAACCATTTAAAGATTTTCATTACAATGATACAAATATTTACAATATATGTTAACCTCTACTCTTTTTATTTGGATAACCACGTTAAATTTTACTTTAACATGCAAGGAAGACCCCGGGCATCCAACATCTAGAGGAATCGGTGAGATCCTTACAAAGACTTTCTAGCTTAGGAGGTGACAAAAATAGGAGGCTTTGTGCCCGTGTTGATGAGGAGTTTGGAGAACGAGTTGATGAAGTTGCAATAGAGGCTTTTGTATTGGGTAATAATTGATTTTGTAATTACCATATCAAGAGTTTGAATTTGTTTGAACGTTAATGACATACACCGCAGAATTTCCTTTATAAAGTCGATCTTTAACATTTAAATCAATTGAATAATTTCATAAATTTCATATTTTCTTATATTTGATGCACTTAAGCACAATAAACCTACGAGTTTGCTCATTTCACTTATATATGCTCCCTCCGTCCCATTGTCTTTGTCCACTTACATTTTGACACACCATCCAATGCACTTCTTTAATCCATTTTATTTTATAATTTGTATATTAAAAAATTATAGAAATTATATATTAATAATCTATATGTTAACACAAATCAAACAATATCACACATGACTATATTTAGGCTTACACATTGAGAAAATTTAATGAGTCAAAGTGCTTAGATGAACAATTCCAAAAGTCAAAAGTGGACAAAGACAGTGCGACGGAGGTAGTACTACTTTTATAAAGTTTATGTCTAATTCTTTTGCTCCAATCATGAAGGACCCAAGGCAGATGAAATACATTTATGAATTTTTGGGTTTGTTTCCAACGTTGAAATCAAGGGTAAGGCTCCCCATCAATTCAAGAATTATTCAAATTTAAATTTTTAATACATTAAATTTTTGGGTATAAAAATAAGTCCCAAAAATATTTTGTGTCAAATGATGTACATGAATATTTTTCGTAACTATAAAACATAATTGTATATCTTATAAAGATATTTTAATAAATTTTAAAATAGTTTTTGTACCCAATCAAATATTTTTAGACAGAAAAGTTTATTTTTCAATTGACTCTAAAAATTATAGTTTAACCCTCAGAAATTAATTTGTTCATGTGAAAAATATTTGTCATCCTTACAAATGTTCCTAAGACTCAATGAAAAGTCTTGGGAATCTTCACTTCACTTCATAAAATTTTGTGTAGGGATTGGAATGTCAAAATTAATCGTCGTAAGGTTGTGGGGCTTTACGTGTGCTCTGACGGTAGAAGTTTATGCAAGCTTGTGGAGGTTTACAAGGAATATAGACGTCAAGAGTATGACCTTGAGATCGTGGTTGTGTGTTGTCCCTTTTGGGATCAAGTGCCCCCAAAGAGGGAGGAGAAGCTTGTGATTGATGCACTTGAAAGTCGTGGGCTGCTAGGCTGGTGGTTGTTACCTTTCAAAAACAGTGTATGCCATAGGCTGCAGCGGATGGGTGAAAATGACAGTGGGAAGGAAGGTCTTTTCATGGTGGATCAAGAGTTGAGAAGTGTATGGATTCTTATAGATTTCCAATCATCGTTGAGTTTGGAAAGGACGCATATCCCTTCATGGTGGACCCATCATCCTTTGAAATTCCTTCTCAACCAAACCCCTCCTAGTGATGAGATATGCATCCTTTCCAAACTCAACGATGATTGGAAATCCATAGGGATTCACAAACTTCTCAACTCACATGTCCACCATGAAAAGACCTTCCTCCCCAATGCCATTTTCACCCATCCGCTGCAACCTATGGCATACGATGTTGTTGAAGGGTAACAACCACCAGCCTAGCAGCCCACGACTTGCAAGTGCATCAATCACAAGCTTCTCCTCCCTCTTTAGGGGCACCTGATCCCAGAAGGGACAACACACCACCACGATCTCAAGCTCATACTCTTGATGTCTACATTCCTTGTAAACCTCCACAAGCTTGCATAAACTTCTACAGTGGACATCATTGTCGCCAAGGCCCAAAAGTTCATTGAGGGAGCGACCCTCCAGAACAGAGTCACGACTTGAACAGACAGCTTGTCTCTCCGGAGTAGAGGGAAAGCAATCGTGCTCACCTCCTCCAAACCGCTGAAACATCTTGGGCGGTCCATGGTAAAGCACGTTCTGAGCCAGATCTAGAATCAAAACTTTAATCTCACCATTAAACCCGAGTGCCGAGTAGGTGCACTCGCGCTGGCGAGAGTCAACAAGACGGACAACAAGGCAGGAAAAGGCCGACAAAAAGCTTTCATAGGCATCGCAAGAGCGGCGGAAACCCTTCCTCATCATTGGCACCACCACCAGCACGAAATCATCTCTTCTGGCGAGCTCGTGAGAAGCTAAGGCTGTGTGATAAACCATGTCTGCATCTTTTGAAGACCATATCGAAGGCACAAACACACAACAAATCATGACGTACTTACCCGATATGTCCAGGGTAAGGGAGTGTTGGCATGTGGCAGAGGCCATAACACCAACACCCATACCACTACCGTAGTTAGTCACTAACTAGAGCATTCCGGCTATCCCCTAGCAAATCTAAAGCCTTGACTCGTTTGCCTAATTTCATGTCAGGCACGTTCAAGAAGGCTTTAGAATATTTGGGGCGTTTTTGGTCAAAGTATGAGCCCATCTTACACTCATTACTTAGGCGTGCAGGGAGCTCGTGAGTACCCCCGAGGCTGAACTTGTTGGCCAACATCTTGGCTTTGACGTGCTTTTTTCCACAGTTGGATTCATGTCGAAAAGGTGTCTTCACCATCGGATCTACAAAACAAACATGAACCAGAACCAAATTTTATGCCTAATGAAATTAAACATTCTCAGAACCACATTTTACTCCACAATCCATCTTTGATGGTTTGAACTAATAACCTAAGAAAGCCAGATCTAGATTGGGGGCGATTCGCACTCAGACTCACCAATCGTCCAGTCCACACAGCAAACAAAAATCAATCAAATCAAACAGATATGAACTCATAGATCATTACTCCACAACTTATCTTTGGTGTTTTCAAATAATAACCTGATAAAAACTTCTTCTTGAATCCGCTGCAGCGGCGACGCTTCGAACTTGACCCAGATTCAACCGGGTCAAGGGCAGTCCACTTCCCACGCCTTCCAGACGGATCGCTCCCTCGCTTCTCGTCCATTTTCCTGCAATTCCACACCCGATTCAACCAACTGCTTCGTTTTCTTGAGCCAATTTCTTATGTTTCCCCCTACCCGTTTTAGAACGTGAACTAATTTGGTTTATAGATGTCCGTGCGAAGCTTTAAAATACCATCCCCCATTTCTCTCTTCTTTTTCTTTTTTTTTAAAAAACAATTTTCTAGTATGAGACATTGCCACATGGGCACCCTCAAAGTTGCAATTTGCCGCTAATTTAAAAAAAAACAAAATCCTAGTATTACACATTGGTAATTATTTTTGTATAGTATACTCCCCTCCGTCCATAAATAAATTTTCCACTCACTATTTACAGAGTTAAACTTTATTCACTTTGTTGACCTATTTTCGTTACCCATTTGATAAAATAATATAGTCATGTTACCTCTAATTTTGTAGATCTTTTGATATACTCCGTAGTTTTTAATACATAATTTTTATTTTAAAATTTCACACCATTTTTCATGTAAAATGATTTAAAAATAACTTCAGTCAAGCATCATAACGCACAACGGGAAGTTTATGTGTAGATGGAGGGGTACTACTCCGTATTACTTTTATATAATTTATGGTCAAAATTTAATAATTATGACTGCAAAAAAATCAAAATTGGACAAAAGCTTTGAAATAGAGTTGATATTTTTTAAAAATTATCTTGAAAATATGAATTGACCAAAAGGCTCAAACGTAAAATGATGACGTGCTTCCTCCACCGGAGTAAAGGTAAAGCAATCGTGCTCACCTCCTCCAAACCGCTGAAACATCTTGGGCGGTCCATGGTAAAGCACGTTCTGAAAACAAGAAAACCCATGGTTTTTCACCCATATTAGAGATGCACTTGGAACTTTAGGCGCAGGTGTTACTAAGGACTAGTTTACAAAAAGCTCATATCTCATACAATTCTTTTGAAACACTAGCATTGCAGGACATAGTTAAAGCAAAAACATAGACACGGAAGCACATATGGCAGAATGGAACAACATGCAATAGATCAAACCATGGTTAAGAACATACTCTGATGAGCCTATACTTGGGCTCGTATTTCTTTGCATTCTCAACAGAGTCATAGATCAGACCAAACCCAGTTGATTTACCTCCTCCAAAGTGAGTCCTGAACTTAAAAACAAATATGGCATTGGAATCTTTCACTTCATACATCCTTGCCAGCTTTTCTTTCAGCTCCGCCTTCAAATTCAAACCACCACAATGTCAGAAACATAAGTTACGTGTAATCCCTGATTA